GTCTGTCTCCAGGAGCCGATGCTTGGTGCTCGTCCTGGTCGTTTTCGTGGCTATTCCTTTCTCTCCCCCCCCCCAGCCATTGCTGGGGCTTCTAATTCTTCTGCTCTTTTGATTCGGGCTGATGTTCCCTTTGTTCCTTTACTTTTTCCTTCGCCTCTCCATTGTTCTGCTGCTCGTATCTTTGTGGGGAAATGGTACACAGTTTGTTCCATTTATCTCCCCCCGAGTGTCCCGCTCTCTCTTCCTGATTTGAAACACCTCCTGGACTCCTTGCCGGAGCCTGTGCTCCTGCTGGGTGACTTCAATTGTCGTCATTCTCTTTGGGGTGACGTTCTGACGAATACCCGGGGTCGCCTCCTTGAGCCGTTTCTCCTCTCTTCTTCCCTGTCTCTTCTGAATTCTGGTGAGCCCACTCATTTGGACTCTCGGACTCGCACCCTTTCTTGTCTTGATCTTTCTCTCTGCTCTTCTTCTCTTTACTTAGATTTCACGTGGCAGGTTCTTGATGACCTCCATGGAAGTGATCATTTCCCCATCCTTGTTTCCTTTTTCTCTTTTCGCCCTTCCCTCTCTTTCCCTAGGTGGCAGTTTGCTAAGGCAGACTGGACCCTATTTACCCTCAGTGCTGCTCTCCCTGACCTCTCCCTTCTGCCTCTCTCTCGCGCTCTCCTCCTTTTTCATGACACTGTCTTCAACGCTGCCCTCCGCTCTATTCCTCGCTCTTCCTCTCGGGGTCCACGGAAGTGCGTTCCCTGGTGGAATGCGGACTGTGCTCGGGCTGTCCGCTGTAAGCGTGCAGCCTGGAAGAGGCACCGCCGTAGGCAGACGACCGATTCTTTTCTTTTCTTTCGGAAAGCGAGTGCGGTGGCCCGTAGGGCCATCCGTACGGCTAAACGTGAATGTTGGGCATCTTATGTCTCAACAATTACGTCCGAGACCCCTCTGGCCCAGATCTGAAGCGTATCCGCAAGATAGCGGGTAAGTTCGTTCCCGATGTTTCACCGGTCCTTCACCTCCATGATACTCTTGTGGCGGACCCGTTGCAGGTCGCTTCCGAACTGGGTTCCCATTTTTCTTCTGTTAGCTCTGGTCTTCATCTTCCCCAATCTTTCCTTCTTCGTAAACCTGTCCTTGAGTCTCGTCCTTTAGATTTCTGCACTCATCTTCAGCTTCCCTATAATGATCCCTTCTCTCTCTCTGAACTTCGTTCTGCCCTGGCCCTCTGCGGTTCTACGGCGGCGGGCTCCGATGGTATTCATTATGAGATGCTTCGCCATCTCCCTCCGAGCACGTCTCAGTATTTACTGAGTCTGTATAATCGGATCTGGGAGTCGTCGTCAGTCCCTGAGGACTGGCTCGATGCCGTTGTCCTCCCTGTTCGCAAACCGGGGTCTCTGGGTACTTCCCCTAAGGACTTTCGCCCTATTGCTCTCACAAGTTGTGTCTGCAAACTCTTTGAACGTATGGTTAACGTTCGTCTGATGTGGTTCCTGGAACACCATCACCTCCTCTCCCCTTCTCAATTTGGTTTCCGCAAGTGCCGCAGCACGACAGATGTCCTGGTGAACTTGGAGGTCTATATTCGTACTGCTTTTGCTGCGAAGACCTCTGTTGTTGCCGTCCTTTTTGACCTAGAAAAGGCTTACGACACCACTTGGCGTTATCATATCCTATCTCAACTTCATTCTTTTGGCCTTCGTGGTCATCTCCCTCTCTTTCTCCGCAGCTTCCTCTCTCGTCGTTCCTTTCGGGTGCGCCTTGGTACCGCTCTCTCTCCCTCTTTTCAGCAATACGAAGGTGTGCCCCAGGGTAGTGTTCTGAGCACTACTCTTTTTCTTGTTGCCCTCAATGGTCTTCTTTCCTCTCTTCCTTCTGGTGTCTTCTCCGCTCTCTATGTCGATGATCTTACCCTTTGTTGTCAGGGTGATGATTCGCCTCTCCTTCAACGCCGGCTTCAACTTGCAATTGATGCCGTGTCGTCTTGGGCCACAGGTCATGGCTTCAAGTTCTCTACTTCTAAGACTTGTGCCATGACTTTTACGCGGAAACGGGTTGTTCTTCGTCCCTCTTTGTCACTTTATGGTCATCCCCTTGAATACAAAGATTCCGCGAAGCTTTTGGGGTTATTCCTTGACACTCGTTTGTCTTGGTCTCCCCATATCTCTTACCTCCGTGTTGAGTGCTCTAAGGCCCTTACCCTCCTTCGGGTCTTGTCCCATACTTCTTGGGGGGCAGATAGGCGCACTCTCCTTGCTTTACATTCCTCTCTCGTCCTGTCTAAGCTCGATTATGGATGCCCTGCTTACTCGTCTGCTTCTCCTTCTTCTCTTCGCCGTCTTGATGCTTTGCACCATACTGGGTTGCGCCTCAGTTCTGGTGCCTTTCGTTCGACTCCCATCCTTAGCTTGTATGTTGACACTGGCTTCCTGTCTCTCCAGGACCGCCGTGATCGCTACTGTCTTCGCTATCTTGCGCGGTCCTTGCAACATCCTTCCTCTCGCCTCTGTCGTGCTTTAACTTTTACCCCTCCTGCGGTTCCTGTTCCTCTTCACCACCTCCCTCTTTCTGTCCGGTTATCTCGCCTACAGGATTCTCTCTCCGTTCGTATTTCTGATGTTTCTCCTCGTGTTGTTCCTTCTTTGCCCCCGTGGAGGGTCCCTCTTCCGCGGTTTTGTACTTCCTTGACCCGTATCACTAAGGCTTTTACCCCTCCTACGGTTCTAAAACGCCTTTTCCTCGAGCACTTTTCTTCTCACTCCCGCTCCGTTTCTGTCTTCACCGATGGGTCTAAGTCAGCGGACGGTGTTGGCTACTCTGTTGTTTTTCCTGATCGCACTTATATGTGTCGCTTGCCTCCGGAGACTAGCATCTTTACAGCAGAACTTTATGCTATTCTCTATGCTCTTCGTCTCCTGCTTTCTCGTTGTCAGTCTTCCTTTGTGGTTGTTGTTGACTCTCGTAGTGCCCTCATGGCTCTCGGGTCCTTTAATCCGGTTCATCCAGTAGTTGTCGAGATCCAGCATTGGCTGTTTCTCGTTCACAGTAAATTTAAGTCGGTTGAGTTTTGTTGGGTTCCCAGCCATATTGGTGTGTCTTTAAATGAGCGTGCGGATGCTGCCGCTAAGGAAGCTGTCCGCTCTTGTCCCATCTCTCGTAAAGGCATTCCGTATTCCGACTTTTACCCAGTTATCCATTCCTCAGTTCTTACCCGTTGGCAGGCTTCTTGGTTGTCTGTTACTGGTAACAAGCTACGTACTCTTAAATGTTGTGTTTCCTCGTGGCCGTCCTCCTTCCACCGTAACCGGCGGTGGGAAACAGCTCTGGCGAGGTTGCGTATTGGCCATATTCGCTTAACCCATGGTCACTTAATGGAGCGCCGCCCTGCTCCTTATTGTCCTAGTTGCATTGTCCCTCTTACGGTCGTGCATGTCCTTCTTGAATGTCCTGACTTCCAGGACGAGCGTGTGTCTTGCTTTCCGACCGCCCCTCGCGGTCACCTGTCCCTCGATAGAATTCTTGGTGACTCGGATACTTTTGATATCGTTCGCCTTATGCGTTTTTGTTCTCGTATTGGCATCCTTGGTGATATTTAGCGCCCTCTGATTATTTTGCGTATTTGATGGTGCTACATAGCCTTCCCGGTTTGGTGCCTTCTTTTGATAATTACTTACTTACTTACTTGAAGGGCATTGCAATTGTCTGTGTCTTCTATCTTCCCAAGTATCTTTGCATCATCCACAAACATGTTCATACAATTCCGTATTCTTCTGGTAGATCATTTTTGTAGATGTTAAACTTTACTGGTGCAAGAACTGAATCCTGTGGTATTCCACTAGTAACAATCCTCCAGTCAGATACACTGTCTCTGATTACTGCCCTCATTTGTTTGTTAGAAAATTTTTCATTCATGTCAGAAGTCCAGATAAGCCTTTTTTAGGTCCAGATAGACACAGTGAACCCACCTCTTTCCTGTAGTATCTCTGTGGCTCTATCATAAAAACTAAGAAAATTTGTTACACAGGATCTTCCTGTTCGAAAGCCATACTGTCTGTCCATTATTATGTCATTACACCCCTAGATGCCCAAACACTTGGGGTGGACGGTAGAGCGACGGTCTCGCTTCATGCAGGTCGGTGTTCAATCCCCGACCATCCAAGTGGTTAGGCACCATTCCTTCCCCATGTCCCATCCCAAATCCTTATCCTGACCCCCCCGCCTTCCAAGTGGTATATAGTCATAATGGCTGGGTGCTTTTCCCTGATAATTCCCTTCCCTTCTAGGCGTTCAACACATTTGGCTTGAACTATTTTATCTAGTGTTTTAACTACCACACTTGTTATTGACTTGGGTCAATAATTTATAGGTTCCTCTCAACTACCATTTTTATAGATTGGTACTATGTTTGCCTTTACCATATACAGTATCTGCTAATATTCATGTGCACAAGGATGTCTGGAGTTTTAATTGGAGTGGAATGCTCAGCTCGGTTGCACATTCTTGTACCACCCTATGTCTGTCGTGTGTCTGTCTTTGTCTCTTATAAAAAATATAATTGTCTAATGTGTGGGTGGTCTCCAGTGAAAGGAACTTAGGGGTGTGCAATACTAAAACAAGAATAGGTACCCCTTACTCTGTCAGATGGCTGTGGCTTGAGAAACCGTTGAAGCTGTGGAAGAATCTTCTGTTTTATATTAGTACGGACAAATTATTGACAACAGGAGATTTGTAAAATTTTCCTGAGATCAGTGAATAATGGTGCCTATTACTGTAAGAAAAAATATTATTTTACAGAGTTTTTTAAAATATTTAGCTGTGTAGCTGGCAGTTAGGGTGAGGCTAGCCCCATCCATGTGGGCTCCAACTTTGAACAGGCAGAGAGAGAGAGACACACACAGACATTCACTCTTATATAGATAATACAAATGTTATGAATTTCTGAGAAAATATTTGCTAGGTTATGTTCAACATATTAATGAAAAACACATTTTTCTTTCTAATAGGATAGTATGGAGCTGGATTGCTTGTGATTCTGAGGTTGCACAATGATGTGTAGAAGCTGTGTTAGACAAGCTTCCTTACCATGTGTCCTGCTGCTCAGACTTTTGCTTCAAGCATTGACCTGCCATGGGACAATATGGAATGATTCATTATTAAAAGACCTACAGCATCAGTGTCCCCTAGCTGATCCACATATTTATGAAGATAATGTTTTATATGGAGCTAAAGATGCAGGTATGAGTGAAAAGCATAGTTAATCAATAATGTGTTACACTATTTGTATGTTGTTCATTTAAGATGGGTACTAATAATTAGGAAGGACATGCTGTGTATGTGCTAATTGTCCATCAAAAATGCTAAGAAAATTATTTGCTGAATAATCTAACCCATCCTCCTGAAATGAGAGTACTTACAGTAACTATTTGGTGGAAAGTACCAATATATATAGTGATGGAGTAAAAGTAAACCACTTTCTGTGGGGAGTCCCTTCAGCTTCCTGGAGCTATTGGACTTGTATACACTGTATTAGTCTGGGGCTTCAGTCAATGGAGTTGTACCTACCGGGGGAACACTAGCCAGAACATGGCCCCCCCCCTCAGAGAGGCACAGGGAGCAATGACCTAAGGAAACACCCCCCTTGTATTTGGGGGTATTCTCTGTCTGCCATCGACTGGGGTTAGGCACCCAGCATGGTATGCATCTCAAAACAAACCCCCCACTTGGTAGAAAATTGCAAAAACCCTATGACCAAACAGAGAAACAGAACTCCCCAAAAGGAAATTAATTATGTTTGCGAACAGCAAACGTAATTCACTGCCACCGCTTGTCCTTTCTGCTCCAGGGGGGAGCCCTGGACCCCTGCACCGCCTGCCCACACCTCAGTTTGTTGGCTGAAGTGGTCTGGGGCGGTTGTTAACTCTGGCCTCGGTTTCCTGCTGGCTTTTGTGCACTTGTGGTGTTTTTCCAGCTGTTTGTGGCGTGGTGGCCAGGAGTAATGTAGTGTACTGGAGCTGCATGCGCTCCAGTACACTAGAAGGGCTACCTTCTCTAAGCATCCTGTAAGTACAACCCCTTGGGTTCTTGGGTTGCATTCTCTAGGATCTTTGTGCCTTCACTTCTGTAGGGGTTCCTGCTGCTTGGCATTTACCCCGCCCGTGGAGGCCAGTTGGGGGTTTTGTGGCCTTTGTTTGACTCTGGCTAGGGAGTGTTGTTGTTGCTGGTTGGGGCGCGTCAGTGCTGTGCAGCACGCATACCTGATGTCGGCCGTGTTTCCTGTTCCTCCTGTTGTCATTGTATTTTTGCTGGATTTTTCTTTTCTTTTTGTTTTTTGCATGGAAGTGGTCTGCCTGGTTTGACTATTCAGTCTACTTAGGATATTGTTGGTGGCCCTCTAGGCCCCTGTGCTTGTTCGTTTCACAGGGGTTCAGTTTTAGCCCAGAATCTGGCACCTCGCATTCTCATACGTCTTACCCGGGTCATGGTGACCCGCTTGCATCTGTTAAGGGTTCGGGTTCTGTCCTACCTTGAAGACTGGCCAGTGTGGGCTCCCAGCTGGTCCTCGTATCTGCTCGCCGGGGATTTGGTTATTTACCAGCTTGCCGGATTCGGGTTCTTGGTGAACTGGTGGAAGTCCTATCTGGTTGACTCTCGGATTCGGATTTGACTGGGTCTTGACTGGGACTCTTGGACCATTTTCTTGTCTCTCCCTCTGGTATCATTGCTGCGGCTGCAGTCCTGCCTTCAGCAGTTTTTAGGGAGCACTTGTCAGTTGCTCGAACAGCTGTGCGGGAATCTGAACTTTGCTGTGCTCGTTTACCCGCAGGGTCGGGTCTGGCTTACGCGTCTGTTCTGGTTCCTTCGGGGACATCCCGTCTGTCGCTCTCGTGATCGCTAGGTTCGGCTTCTGGGGACCTTGCATCAGCTGCTGTGTCGCCAGCTTCCTCCTTTAAGTTTTTTTGGGTTCAGCGCCATGGTGCCTATCCGAGCCCTCGCTTATTGTGCTCACAGATGTCTCGTCTCTCAGTTTGGACTTTGTGACCAGTGCTCACCGGTCCGTGGGGTCTGTCCTTCCTTCATGCTCACAGCATGGTGCAGGAGTTTGCGGCGGTGTAGCAGTCACTTCAGATGGTTCGTGTTGCTCACGGATCGACGATCTGGCTCCATTCGGAATGCTCTTTGGTGGTTCATTGCCTGAACCAAGGGGGTTCAATGCAGCCCTTGGCTCTTTGGGGGCTGATAGTTTTGGGTGACTCTTTTGCTGAGTTCTTGGAGTTCGGCTCTCCTGGCGGTTCATATCCAGGGAGTGTCCAACGTCCTGGTAGACGGCCTGTCTCGGTTCATTTCTCTGTCCACTGAATGGACCGTCGACGCCGACTCATTCAGTTGACTCTGCCGGACGTACGGGCACTCGGAGGTGGACCTTTTTGTGTCGGCGTGTGGCACCCTTCTCTCGACTGCAAAGCCGTTGCTGTCTGTGCTTTTCAGCTGGACTGGTTGAGGTGGTGTTATCTGTACAAGTAGCTCTTCCTTCCCTGGTCCAGTTGTTGTTTTGGATTCTGGCTCGTTTGGAGACATACCAGGGGTGAGTTCTGTTGGCCCCTTGGTGGCCGGCCCAACCTTGGTTTCTGGTGCTGCTTGTTCGGTGTCTGAACCCGGGGACTTTTCTGCGGCTCATCCTCTTTCAGCAGATCGGGCCAGTCCATGGAACCATGGCTGGAACCATGGCTGGTTCCATCTTCTCCTTCGTTCTTTGTGTCTGGTCTTTCTCATGCGGGTTCATCACCACTTGCGTCAGGTAGCTTCGTTGATGGTACCTGATAACCACCTGTGTTTATCAGGTGGCTTTGTTGATGGTATCCCACCAGTGTGCTTTGTCTCGGTGGCAGTATGAAGTTTCCTGGCAGTCCTTTCGTCATTTTTTGTCTCTTCGCATGTTGTCTTCGGTTTCGGATCGGGTTTTTTGTCCTCTCTTGGCTCTTTTAGGACCATTATCTTATGCCGAATACTGTCGCCTCGTATCATGCTGCACTGCCAGAGTCGCTTCTGTTTGTGTCCGGGGTAGATGTTACTTCCGAACCATTTCGGAAACTGTTTCGTGCATTGTTTCACCTCCGGCCTTCTCATGCGCTGCCTTAGCTGTCCTGATTCAGGACGGAGAACCAAGTGCTCTCTTTTCTCTCTCCTACTCGGTTTATGATGGCTCCTTCAGTTTGGGATTGTTTTGATAAGGATCTTTTCTTGTTGCCATTGGCCTCTGGAGGTTGGGTCGGGGAGCTTTATGCTCACTACCGGCGCAGGGGTTTCTACTCTTTCGGTCCTGGTAGTAGGTTTGTTCAGTTGCAGCTGTCTCCTTTTCTGGCGAAGAAAGAAACGGCTGCTTTCCTCAGGGATCCTTGAGTTGTTGATGGTAGGTTAGTTCGGCCGGGGATGCATCATGTGTTGTCCGGTTGCTTCTCTTCACCGTTATTTGGACGCCTCAACCTCGGTGGCTGGGGACGCGATTTGGGTTGACCCGGTTTCCCTCCTACTCGGTTCCAGGGCTCGGGTCTGCCAGGTCGTCTGCAAGGTTATTCGGTCCAGCCAGCCTGCAGTTTATCATCATGCCCATGACGTTCGCAAATTTGCTGCTTTAGCTGCCGTTTTTGGTAATATGTCTTGGGCTGACATTTGGGCATGGGGATTTTGGAGGTTGAACAGGGTTCTGTCGCCCGTTACTTCATCAGTGATCTTGGCCTTAGTCGGGCGTGTGTTGCTTTGGGTCGCAGGTTGCAGCCAGTTGTCTCGACTTCGAGTTAAGGTGTGAGTGGCGGCTGCCTCCTGGGCAAGTCCCTCTTTTCAATTTCTGTGATAATGTAGCTTCTGGGAGCCAGAGGGGCTCTCCACAGAAAACCATCGTTGAATGTAATGAAACACCATTTTCTGGGTGAGTCTCGGAGGCTTCCCAGCAACCCTCCCTTCCTCCAATCACCTGATTTTCATGTTTTTGATGTCCAGCCTCAGAACTGGGGTTGGATAGCTGTGGCAGGGTCTGTGGCTCCCTCTTACCCCTCCCGGGAAGGGGGTAGCTGTGTGAATAGGCAGCATGGCGGCGGGTGTGATGTCATGCTTGTTTACTTTTTTTAAATTGAGGAGTTCTGCTTAGTAGTTCAGTTTTCGGTAGCAATGTTTTACCAGTTGGGGTCTGTTTTGGGACGCTTACCTTTCTAGGTGCCTAACCCGGTAGATGGCAGACATAAAATGCTTCCAACCACATGGAGATTTCTATAGGCCATTGCTCCTCGTGCTTTTCTGAAGGGGCCAGGTTCTGACTCGTCCATGGTAGACTTGAAACTCCATTTGAATTTACTGATGCCACGGTCTAATACATACATATCAGCCCGGTATAGCTCCGGGGAGCCTCCGAGATTTGCCCCAAAAATTGTGTTTCATTACATTCAAAACTGTTTTTTTTTCCACTGTCTCATGGCACATCTGTGTACTGTTATTCTCTGAAATTCATATTGTCTTAGTCTCTGAAATTTTCGTTTTGCACAAACACACTTTTGAACTGTAGGAAAGTGTGAAAGTTAAAAAATAGTGTAGTTCTGTAATGGACACAATAAAAAATTATTGGTTTATTTGAAATGAACCTAGGTTAGAAGTAAGAAGATCCTTGTCTCAGTGTGGTGTTAAAATTTGTAATTACTGTAATTGCAATTGAAAATTATCTGCCACCTGAGGCAGTGCATATGAATGTTTTAGTGAACATATGCCTGAGCAAATTTTTTATTATTTTTCATCTTGATGCTATCATGTATATAATCATATGGCAATATATTGCAGGAAGGTACGATGTGATAACTAATGCAACTGGCTTGACTGCATGTGTTCGTGCCTGCTGTAGTAATAAAAAATGCCATGTGGCACTCCTGCATAAGCAACATTGTCTCAGTGTGGAATGCAGGAATGCTGCAGTGTGCCAACCTACTCCAGGTAAAGGATCATTGCTTGTGGTGGTCAGGAAAGTGGACAGTGGTAACTTAGAAGATGATGCACAGTGGATAGGCCAGCCCAGGTATGTTCGTGCAGTATTTCCCTGTAACATTTAGGCATATATTGTGTGGTTTAATATGAAACATTCTCATCATGTAGATATGCCTCTGAGTATTCTTTTTTTTTTTTTAGCTCTATTTGTGAATATCTTGAAAATACCTCTTTATAGACATGCATTATTGAAAACTTGTGTTTGGTATATTATTGAGCTTTTCGATGAAATCTGCTAATGTAGCTGCTGGGGTTAGTTTGTAAACTGACTTGTTTTAGTGTTGAGAAGTGATGTCTTCATTTCTGAACAAATATTTTATCAAGTTGATGTATCTTCATGAAACTTAGTAAACAGCATTCTATATTACACGAAACTATGCTTAATACATAGCAATATACCTGAGCAAATTTTTTATTATTTTTCATCTTGATGCTATCATGTATATAATCAAGGATAGTTCGTACTGTAATATCTGGTACTAACTCTGCTACTACCACTGTAATAATTTATATTCTACTGATCTTGTAGGGAGGGAGAGCGAGTGAGGGAGAGTGATAGCGAGTGAGGGAGAATGATAGCGAGTGAGGGAGAGCGATAGCCAGTGAGGGAGAGCGAGAGCGAGTGAGGGAGAGCGAGAGCGAGATAGAAGTATTAGTTGCTACAGCCTTCATATGACTTACCAAGTAATGCTGCCACCACCCTGAGTTACCGGACAGGGGACCGGAGTGAGATTCGTAGGGCTTGTAAATTGTGTATTTCTACCAGGACAGGTGCAAGGGACAATTGAATGGTGAAAGGATCCTGGCCTGTCACTCGAATAATCCTGACCACTTCAGGAACTATAAAAGTACACAGGAATAAGGTGGGACACGCCCAATACTAATACCTCAACTAGGGATGGACAGGTGGGGGGGAGGAGTACTGGATAATTAAGGACACTTGGTCATTAGGGCAAAGAGAATGGTAGGCCCAATATCACTCAAGACAAGGAACCATTAATACACACTGGAATGACATTTGACAATACATATGACTTTATTTGAAACAATTAAATAGACACTTTCCTAACTATATTCCCTAACAAAGGCAAAGAATAAATGACTGATAATGTGCTTTAGTTCAAGAGAGCCGTACTTACTCGAATGGTGTGCCACAATTTTCATCGAGATGGTCTCTCCTGGTGTCCACTCACACCGTCTTCCTAGACTTCTCCCACTCTACTGTGTCTGGCAGTGATCTACTCCCCAGCTGAACATGAGGGCTTGCATTTGATGTGGAGGAGTTAATCCCTGTAGATTATCATGACGGCATCAACTCTGACCACCTCGTGACTCCGTGACCATTGACCTCTCCCCCTGATTAACTTCTACAGAGGTGTAACTTTTCCATTGTCTGGCACCGCGCCTGTGGCTTGTTTGTACTGTTATGATGTTCATGTTGTTCTACTATGTACTGCTCTCTTGTTACAATACTATGGCATGGATGATCCTTGAGGACAGTTCATGCTATGGAGTGGATGGTCCTCGAACCCCGTTCATGCTATGGAGTGGATGGTCCTCGAGGACCGTTCATGCTATGGAGTGGATAGTCCTCGAGTATCGTTCATGCTGTGGAGTGGATGATCCTCGAGGACAGCTCATGCTATGTTCTGGAGGATTCATAGCAACAGTTCATGCAACTGTGTGAGTGATTCACGGGAACTGTTCATGTTAGTGTGGGTGCTATGGAGTGGACATGAACAAATTCACAAGGGCCGTGATGAGGGTTCGAGCTTGCATCCGGGATGATCCCAGATGCGCCTTAGTCGATTGCAACAAAACATGGTAAAAGAATTGCAACCGGGAGTGCTACTGCCCTCACACGGATCCTGCAGTCTCTCCGAGACACAAACTGGGGTTTTACGCAATTCATGCTATGGAGCCCCATGCACTTGGACTCTGTCAACAAGCTGTTCTACCTCTTTGCCCTTACTTCAATACACACAGAAATCACAATAGCATGATACATCAATGAACAAATCCACAAGGGCCGTGATGAGGGTTCGAACTTACGTCCGGGATGATCCCAGACATACCTTAGTTGATTGTGCCACAACTTGGTACATGTGTATCATGTCCCCGGAGTGGACATGCTACAGTGTGGGTGATACTTGGGAATAATTCATGCTACAGTGTGGGTGATGCTCTGGAACAGTTCATGCTGCAATGTGGCTGATACTCGGGAACAGTTCATGCTAGTGTGGGTGATACTCGGAAACAGTTCTAGCTACAGTGTGGGTGATACTCGGGAACAGTTCATGCTAGTGTGGATGATACTCGGGAACAGTTCAAGCTACAGTGTGAGTGATACTCGGGAACAGTTCATGCTAGTGTGGGTGATACTCGGGAACAGTTCATGCTAGTGTGGGTGATACTCGGGAACAATTCATGCTAGTGTGGGTGATACTCGGGAACGGTTCATGCTAGTGTCATGCAATTCTATAGTACAGAAACCAAAACTGAAGTACAGTTTGTTGTCTGAATGGGGCCTGAAAAGGGCAAATTATCTTGGTTATCTTGAGATGATTTCGGGGCTTTTTAGTGTCCCCGCGGCCCGGTCCTCGACCAGGCCTCCACCCCCAGGAAGCAGCCCGTGACAGCTGACCAACACCCAGGTACCTATTTTACTGCTAGGTAACAGGGGCATAAGGTGAAAGAAACAATGGGCATTGTTTCTCGCTGGCACCTGGGATCGAACCCAGGACCACAGGATCACAAGTCCAGCGTGCTGTCCGCTCGGCCGACCGGCTCCCTAGAGCTGAAGAATAATAGATAGATAGGCAAGATAGAGCTGAAGACTAATAGTAGATATCTTGTTGGCAATACTAATAGAAATACATCCCAAATGTCCCTGTCTTGCCTGAGATTTCCAAATTGGGTCCAAGTAGTTGTGAGCCAACTGCATTAACTACTATACTACAGGTCAATATACATAAGGTAGTAGTGGTTGATGATTCTTTCATTAATTTGTCAAATGCTTATTTTCTCTTACACAGTTCAAGCTGTATCTGCTCGACTGTATTTAGAAATGTATGGATTAAGGTTATACAGACAACCACATGCTTTCCAAATGGCTCGGAACTGGGACTGAATGAAAAACTGGTTCTGTCTGAATATGTAATTAACACTTTCGCCCGGGCATGACGCAGCATTGCGTCATCCGTTTACTGGCGGTAATACCAGGGATGACGCAGCATTGCGTCATCCACTTTAAATAATCGCCAAAAATCAGGTTTTTATCCGATTTTTTTGGGACTGGTTTTAAAATGCGCGCCGATGTCTTCCCATTTTCTTTGTTGAGCCTCGTGGCCCTCAGGCGGCTTGGCACACGCCGTGGGCCCATTGTTTTCGCTCCACTGTTGTGACCAATGTTGCCTCCCCTCGCATCTCAAACGTGTGAACATTTCGGCTATTTTCCGTGGCTATATTTCTTACTGCGGCTTTAGAAACTATCTACGCTTACTCCACGATGGATGGTGATCATGACCAAGGCCCTTCCAGGAAGAAAATTGCGAAAGAAAGGCTTGAAAAGGGCCGGAATTGGGAGTGTAGCTGGAAGGCATCTGAGCGCTCACTTGCGGCTAACGCGTGGCCCATCTTCAACTCGTCGGCGGTTGGAGCGTGACCAGGTTTTTTATTTTATATGCTAATGTTCCTATAGAGAATTCTATTGCGAACCCATTGAGACCAAAATGAAAGACCTAGGACGAAAATTGAGGTGACCAGAGTGAAAATAGTGAAAACATTTTATCGCGTTTGCGCGCTCCTGGGTAACTCGTTCGCACTTTCTCTGTTTGCTGCGGGTAATTAGCCTGGCTTTTGGAGTTTATATGCATTTAGTGCTGTAGAGAATTCTATTGCGAACACAATGATACAAAATTTAATCTCGTAGGACGAGAATTAAGGTGACAAAGTTGAAGAGAGTATACACTTTTCAGAATTTACGCACGCTCCCGTGACACCCATATCGCACAGTTGAGGGGTGACGGGCGGGGTGCACGAAAGTGTTAATCATCCAGAAAATCTAAGGGAAACTCAACAACTTCATGGGAAAATTCTCCATTATTTTGTGTGTTTATGAATGAGAAATTCTGGGCTTTGGAAGTGGGTGTGGGGCGTCGGGAGTGGGTGTGGGCGTCGGGAGTGGGTGTGGGCGTCAGGATTGGGTGTTGGGCATCAGGAGTGGGTGTGGGGCGTCGGAAGTGGGTGTGGGGCGTCGGGAGTGGGTGTGGGGCGTCGGAAGTGGGTGTGGGGCGTCGGAAGTGGGTGTGGGGCGTCGGGAGTGGGTGTGGGGCGTCGGGAGTGGGTGTGGGGCGTCCGGAGTGGGTGTGGGCATCGGGAGTGGGTGTGGGGCGTCGGGAGTGGGTGTGGGGCGTCTGGGAGGGGGGGGCAGTGTGGGACATTTGGGGCTTGACTCTATTTATATACTTATTAAAGTACAGTAATGAAATCAATTACGAAGGACCACCCGCTTTTATAGTAAAGAGGGAAACTAATAAAATGTGATCATTAGAAATTCCTGTAAGAACCAGTGACTATGGATAAATATTAGGAAATATAATCACTTGAATAATTAATGGGCTGTATAAATAATTTACTTGAATCAAAGCCTCAAACACCTACATTGGGGGGTTATTGCTAGAACTTCATATATGTCTAGGAACTAGTGTGGTTCGTACACCAGTTCATTGTGTAATAACCTAATCTTATGACCAATTAGAGAATCAATAGAAAATTTGTCACCAATAAGAATATAGATCATAAATATCAGAAATTAATAATTATAATAAACACGTATTATCTCCAGTGCGCACAGCATTCCATAAATGACAATCAAAATACTGATAATTTGAATAATCAAAGAAATACGAAAAGTCTTAGCTTGAAGACGTTTTCAAAGACATCAGTTACGAATCATCCTCGGGATCTCCGGAATTCCTCGTAGAACACTGGGAGATGAATAACACGGGTAAAGTAACAGCTCGTGGAATT